TAATTAGGTTAATAGAAGATTTATCTGCCTCTTGTTATCTACAGTGTGTACCCAGGTAAACATCCAGATCTCAGCTGTATTGACTTACAACCCACTTGAGTTACAACCAGCCCTTGGGAACCAATTGAATTCGCAAGTCAAGGTTCCACTGTATTTTCTCTGGACATTCCAGCTTTCTTAGGTCATGGGGAGAAATTAATCCTATAGCTATATAGTTCTGTAGTATAAAATTATTTGGATTGTCAACCCAATCTTCAGAGATTAAGCTTAGGATACAGCATGTGGCTGTATTTTCTCAACAATTCCCCAAAACTCCTCAAAACAAAAAGTAATAATAACATGAAACTTAGACTCATAATATTTCCGAAAGTTACTAGTTCTCAGGGTTCCCAAAGCATGAGTTCCTATAAGGATGGATAACTGTGCATGGTGGTACATATCTATAATCCCAACACTCTGAGAGGCTGAGGAAGGAGGATCACAAATTCAAGCCTCTCTAGGGTAAATTAGTGATTTAGCGAAACCTTGTCTCAAATAAAAAATAAAAAATGGGCTGGGGTAGTTTGGTGCAAAGGCCTGGGTTCAATCCCATGAACTCCCCATCCCACATCCAAACATAGAAGAGGTCATGCTTTATATTACTTTTTTTAGAAGAACCACTTAAGAAATGGGTTTATGCAGGGTGTAGTGGTATATACCTGTAATCCCAGAAATTCAGGAGGCTGAGGCAGGAGGATCACAAGTTTGAGGCTAGCCTGGGCAACTTATTTGAGAGTGCATCAAAATAAAAAATAAAAGGCCCCAGAACGGCAAAAAAAAAGTTAGGCTGTGTTTCTTACTATAATCCTTAAAAGGTAATGGGTATACTTTCAAAAATAAAAAAGTCAGAAGTTAGAACTAATCTAGTATTAATTTAATGTCCTACAGCTACTAAGTTAAGCATTTACCCCAAAAGAAAACAAAGTGATTATCTTATTTGCTGAGCATCAATGCAATTTTTTATTAAAATTTGTGTCCACAGTTAAATTTCCATAATAACCTGAGTAACCTCAGATAAAAAAAAAATAGAATGTGTTCATTTCAACAGAAATCTAGCCCTCAAAAAAGTCTTTTAAAAATTGTTTAGAAAAAAAAATCACAGGGCCGGGATTTAGCTCAGCGGTTCGGTGGCCTGCCTTGCAAGCACAAGGACCTGAGTTCAATCCCCGGTACCAAAAAAAAAAAAAAAAAAAAGAAAAAATATCACATAGCTTCTGCCAGTCTCTCTTGGGCCTCTGGCCCTGGGAACCTAGCTGTGATGCTTTCAGGAAGCCCAGACCGCATGGAGAGCACCTGCTCAGCCCTAGTTAAGTTCTCCGCTGAAAGCCAGCATCAACCTGCCAGCCAGCTAAGTGGCGAAGGCATCCTCAGTATAAGTATCTCAGCCATGTCAAGCTGCCACAGTGGATACCACATTGAGCACAGCAACCTTGTTTGTCCTCACACAAGTTGCAGAGTTGTCAACAACATAAATATTTGTCATTATTTTCAAGCTATTAAGTTTTGTGGTGGTTTGATACACAGTAATGGATAACTAGAATACTTTGTGTACTTAGAAGTAAGTTAAAACAGCAAGTGGCCTATTCAGTATAGGTTCTACTTTTCAGCAGGTCCCCACCCAATTTCTAATTGTACTAACACAGGGATCAGTTTCTCACAAAGCCATCCTTTGTACTGATGAACAATCCTGGGAATTACGATGTTTTAAGTTCTATCCTTGGTGATGACCATGACTTTCTAGCCTCTATAATTCAGGAAAGGCCTGTATCTTATTACATAGTGGCAAAAATTTTAGCACTGTCCCAATTTATAGGCAAGAAACCCGAAATGTACAAATTGTTTGCTTTAACTAAAGTTATACCAGGGACACTTGAACTTCTGGCATAAGGTTTATTATTATTTCTGTGAAACATGACACAAATATAACAGATACAAGAAAGTTGTTTAACAAATCTCAACTTTCATACTTACGCCATCATTATTCAGAGAACTAACCCTTATTTCTATTATTAGAGGTGGTATATTGGCATGGATAACAGGAAAATGAAAAACTTTTTTGTACTACTCATCCTGACCTCATTTTTTAATTTAAATGTTCCATTTAAATTCAAAAACTCCAGTAACCTCTTGGAAGTCTGGGATAAGTATTATAATTTTAGTCTTCCTTGGTGTTTGAATACATATATATTGAATACTTGGCCTACCTATGGGAAACAGCATACAGACCAAAGAGGATAAAAGCATTTCCTTTCAAATGATTTAAACACAAACCTTACAATCCGAAAATATTTGTCATTTCAGTGTAGTAACTGTATAGTAAGCTTTTCTCTTTTTCAACGTCAACAGCAATAGAAAATGAACTTCTTCCTCTGTTGACTACAGTATGTCAGTTGCCACGACAACGCTTAGTCCCCAAACATTCTTTCTAATTGAGACAATTTCTCCTTGCTTTAGTCCCCTAAGACTGACCCAATTACCAAACTCAAAACCAAAAACCCAAGGGGTACCCTTTAATAAAGATCTCATTACACAACCTAAGGAAAATTTAAACATCACTTTTCCAAGTTGCGTGGAAACTTCATGCCACTCATTCTGCTTTTGAATACCTACAGTCTTACAATTTGAATGGTAATTGTCTGAACTAATTTGAAAACCATATATGCTATACTCAGTGACCACTTATAGAAGCCTACATTTTTAATATAAATAATTTCTGATAACATACATGCAGCATATCTCATGTTCTCTAGGCTGCATTTGCATTATATTTCTTCTAAGGTACAATTAAAATCTTCTAGGAGCAAGGAAGACCATGCTCAGTAAATGTATCATTGGACTAAAATACAACATTTGTACACTACCCCAACTTGACCTCATGGGAAGGAACTAGAAAAAAATAATTAAAATCATGTAAAACTTACAAGCTATTATAAATGTGGCACCTTAGAGAGAATTCCTGGTAATTCCAAGAGAAACAAAATCCCTAAAAGAAAAAGGAATCTTGCAAAATGTGTTATCTCCAGTCTCAAAGTTTAAACAAATAATTATCTTTCTCCAATAGTTAGACATTTTTATTAGTTGATCAATATTTTAACTTTTATTTGGGGCTTGGAGAAACCTATAGTTTTGTTTGTTTGGTATCAGGGATTGAACTCAGGACCTTGGACTTGCATGGAACCACTAAGCTAAATCCCCGAATCCTCGACCCAAAATGTTCTTTCTTTTTGGTACTGGGGATCAAACTCAGGTCCTTGTGCTTTCAAGGCAGTCACCAGAAACACTGAGCTAAATCCCTGACCCTTATTTGGGGCTTGGGATAGAGCCCTTGATGCTCAACACTGCAAAAAAAAAATTCAACTTTTATTATACACACTCAAAAATATATTTTACATATATACTAACATCTCTTACATTTCTACAACAATAGTATGTAGCAGTGTTCTCAAAAAATGTTTCCTATTTACAACTGAAAGTTTTCTACATGTTCATTTTTTGGGGGAGCTTAGATATTTTTGTCCACTATTCTATTTTTCAATGATTTCACTTAGACAAAGAACAAAGAAAAATCACATATATGGATCTAAAAGAAGGATTAACATGAAAGACCCCAACTACTCTGAACATTATGTTAATAAATGTTAACTGTAAGACAATTTACTGTGCAATTAGACAGATACAACCAAGGCTACTATAAATTTTTAAAAAGCACTTTTGTTTTAGCTTATTTCAAAACAAAAAGTTGAGGCAAAAATCATAACTTTCTCTGTGGCAGACAGTTCAAGCTTGAAGAGCATTGTTACAAATCCTAAGGCCAAAGAAAATGAATCTTTAAAAAAATCACCCATCAACTAATTTTAAAATATGTGTAATCTATAAACATGATACTTTCCTATTCTATATGATGAAATACTGGTATCCAGTACGGACAAAAGAGAAAAAATATACCACATGAGTCAAAGGGGCCTGAGAACCAGAGACAGAAAGATGTGCAAAAAAGCTTTCAATTTCTTAGACCTAACATTTCAAGAATCTAGATGAATAAATTCTGCTGGAGTTTGAAAATCATGAAGAAAGTTTTATGATATCAAACCATTAATAACTTATTTTTAAGTATTTTGTGGTAAAGAGGTTACCTTAAGCAAGATTTAACTGTTCATAACATTCATTTTTTAAATCTTTCATTTTTCTTGGAAGAGAAAAATAATTGACAAACCTATCAAAATAATAAGCACAAATGAAGAACTATGTAGAAAGAGGAACCATTATGAAATGTATGAGTAAGAGTATTGTGTGCAAGACTAAGGGAGTTTTCAAAGTTTTTTGGTTTCTGGTTGCATATAAACGTAAAAATAAGGGCGTTTTCGTTCTTATAGAGTAACAATAAAACACTGCCTAGTTTATGATGGTTACTTTCACCTACCATTCCGAAACTGAATCAATTTTCATTTTTCCAGAGGAGGGAAAAAATCTAACAAATCTAGAGTCCACTTATTAACTGAGAAAATTTACCAGTAGAATATATCCTGAGGCGCCAGAGATTTGCTCGGGAGGGCAGACAAAAGAGAAATAGTCACAGAATGAATATAAGCCGCCAAAGAGATGACAATCAGTCCCACGTGTAATTCGACTACTGGACCAAAACGCTTCAGGGCGCTGCCTATGCAGTGAAGTGATCTGAGATTCAGCGCATTTTTGGCTTCATCTCTTCCTTGAGTCCATCCTGGCGCGCGGAAGTCAGCGCAAGTCAGGGTGTGGAGCTTATCGATTTAGACTGAGAACTCTAAGGCCCCTTTTAGCGCTTCACAGCCTCTTGGACATTCCCCGCCCCCAAGAGTCGTACACCCTTACTTTACTCCCGTTGGAGAGAAAGACAGTTGTTAGATCGGCTCTCAGGCTGCAAAGGACCAGCGCGGGGGTGCGCGGGGCTCAAGAAGGCAGAGACTACAGCTGCGAGACTTTACCTTCTCGCGCTGGTCCCAGCTGTACTGCTTGGGCCGCTCCTCCTCGCTCTCGGGCCGCGACTCCTTCTTAGTCTTCCTCTCCTTGGAGAAAAAGCAGCCCATGATCCTGACCTGCAGCACCGGCGCAGGCACTTCCTGGAGAGTAGCGTGACCCCTGGACGCCTCAGCCCCGCAGCCCTCCGCGACACCACCCCCGCGGAGCCGTCCAGCCTCCTCTAGCCTCGGTTAGCTCGCCAGGCCCAGCCCCCCCTTTTTCTTTTCCCCCTGTCGCCTGGACTACCCACTGCAGCCAATGGTTGCTCAGAGCCCATTGAGCCAATCAAAGCCCCGCGAGCAGTTCGGCGCGGCCTATAGTCAGAGTACTACGTAGTCTCACCAATCCGCGCCTGGCTCCTGCGACAGCGGCTGGGCTGGTCTGCTAATCGGGTCCTCGGCTCGGCCCTTTTCCGATCTCCCAGCGCTGCCCCTTCTGGAACTCGGTGGGGCTCCGAAGCTAGTGAGTTGTTGCACTCGCATCAGGGTCTTTTTACCTTTGCTCCTGTTTCCGAACGCCGGACGCGGGAGGGACTCCTAGCGGAATGTTGGACTTGTTTTATGATGCAAATTGTGAGAAAACAGGGATTCTTGCTGACACCCGAAGGTCCTGAAGTTTGCATTCCTTTACTCCTCCTTTTCCCTCTGCACCCTTTCAACCAGCACCATGTTATCCTCTTCTGTGCTTTCTTAATACTTATACACATTGCTTTAAAATTGTACAAGTCTTAGTAAAATAATTGTTTCATGTCCCTATTAGAACGGAGAATTTGAGATCAAAAGGCACGTACCTACCCAGTCCCCTAGCCTGGCTGAGTTCATGGTAGGCGCTCAATAAAGCAAGAATTGTAATGCAGTGGCTTTATCCTGTAGTCCCAGCTCTGGGACAGAGGCAAGAGGGTCACTTGAGCTCAGGTGTTGGAGGCCAACCTGGTCGACTTAATGAGACCTCAGAGAAATAAAGTGCTTGTGAAATGAATGTATGATAGACTTTTAAATACATATACACCAAATGTTAACAACACTCGATTCAAATTTTACTACAAAACACATATATTGCTTATTTAATTGAAAAGGTAAGTTGGTTTCTCTGATACAGTATTATGACATCTCTGTAGGACATCAAATGAATATCTGTTCAGGTTCAAATTTGGTTCTTTTTACTTTCCCACACTTAGTAACATCTAGTGTGTATTCTCAATGAGCTGCTGACTTGAGCATTAAGAATGTTTGTTCCCCTTTCACTTCCTGTCCTTTGTTACACAAGTAGGATGAAAAATAGAGTGGTTAAGTATTAGAAATTACTGCAAATTTACATTTCAGGTCTTAGGCAATCGAGTCTTTGCCCAGTGCACTTTTTGCATCTTCAGAATCAGATGAAAGTTCTATGAGAATGTTTTTGAATTAGATCCTCAGTACATATTTTATTTTCATAGAATATTAAAATTGTGATCATATAGTGCAGGGGAGGAAGCAGAGATACAGAGACATGAAGGGACTAATCTGTGGTCACCATGAGAGCGATTGAATAGGGACTAGAAAAACCTAGAGCCTGTGTTGTCTACAGGTTTAAATGTGTTCCTTTCTTATCGAAAATACAGAACAAAAGAAGCATCTGTTTTGCCCTTCTGATGCCTGTGGGAGTTCAGTCCCAAGGTGAGCAAACAACCAACAACACATGAACAAAAAAGCACAACAAAATGAAATTTAGAGAAACAATCTCTAAAACTCTCATTGTTTTTGGAATATTCGGTAACAAAAAACTCAAACCTAAAACAAAACCTGTATCCAAGAGTGATCTTTTCAGCAACCCTTAAATAAAAATGAAAGACCTTTTTCTATTAATTCCAATTCCACCATCACTCTGACATTGATAATTTTAATTAAATTAAGTTAAATTTCAAAAAGCAGGGACTAGAAAGCCAAGGAACAGAACTAGTGCTCTCTCATGCTCTTTCTCCCCCTCTATCTTACTCTTTTATTCTTTTCTCCCTGTCTTTTCTCTTTCCCCATGAATTCTCATCACTACTTTTCCACAAACCATCTTACTCATCAGCCTATCCCACCTTGATTCCTCCTGGCTTTTCTGTCCAAGTACTGACTCTCAAAGTGGGTACTATGATAAATTGCTAGGCAGTCAATAACAGACTGTCTGTAAATGAGTATGCATTCCCACAGGGATGGATTCCAATATACAAACATGATTAGGAGCAGATCCTGAAAATGAATGTGCTAGTAGCTCTAATTCTGCAAAGTCCCAGCAGAGACTGATTGTTCCTTCTGCCTGAACTATCTCTCCTGCTATTTATACTTTGTGATTTCTTTTTTCTTTCTGTTTTTCTTTTTTTTTTTGAAACAAGTTCTCGCTGTGTAGTCCAGGCTAGCCTCAAACTCACAGTCCTCATGCCTCAGCCTCCTGCATATGAAGATTACCATTATTTACCACCATGCCTAGAACTCTGTGACATCTATTCTATAGAATACTGCCCTCCATCATCTTCATCTCAATGTATATATTCATCTATGTTAAAATGTTAGGAAAAAAAGGAAAGGAAAGGAAAGGAAAGGAAACAACAGTTGGGTTGTGGTTTTATGCCTGGCCACAAGCTGTAGAAATGGTTCTGGGTCCCTTGTTCCTTGACCTCAGAAGTGACAGAGTTACTTATGTAGAGATAGTGCTGAAGTGATATATCTGTACAGCATGAGTAAGGCAATTGCCCCAGTGAAGTTAACTGGAAAATTCCCCATGCTTGAGTTGACCTGACTCTGTATCGACCGAAGGAAGCATCAAGTAACGGAGGAAGGAAGGAGAGGAGAGTTTCAGTTATCTGTTGCTGCACAACAAACCACTTGATACGTAATGGCTTAAAACAGCATTTATTTTACTCATGAATCTGCATTTTAGGCAGGGTGCAGCAGAAACAACTCAACTCTGTTCCACAGTATGTTCAAAGCCACAGATGGGATGATTCACACAGTTAGGAGGACTAACCAAGAGTCATTGCACTTAAAAAAAAAAGTCATTGCACCTGAAATCTCAGGGCTTCCCCATGTGCTCACACAGCAACATGGCTTCAGGATAAATGGTCTCCATGTGGCAGTGATGGCGAACCTTTGACTGAGTGCCCAGACTGTAATCCAAAATCCACTTATTTATTGCAAAGTGCTAATGCTACAAGTAAGCCTGAATATCCAATGCTTGGCTGCCAGGGCAACTTGGCTCCAATGCTGACATGGCTCTGCACGCCTGCTGTGACACATGTGCCATAGCTTCACCACCCATGCTGCATGGAGCCCAGAGCTCCAAGGGTAAGTGCTCCAAAAGACCATGCCTCAGAAGTCACACACCATCCCCTCCACTGAGTTCTTTTAGTCACCCAGGGCCCATCCTGACTCAAAGTGAGAAGACTAGATAAGGGATATGAATACAATATAGTGCAGGTCTTTGAGTTTGTCATTTCAAACACTATTGTGAGTGTTAATGTATTACTCATGTACAGAAGAAGAGGATTGGAAGGTTTTAAAAAATTCGACAGGCAGATAACCTTTTTGATATGCAAAGTATTATTAGCCCTAGTATGTAGCTCCTATGAGTTGATTGAAAACAGCAATAATATAATTGAAAAAAATGGTCAAGACCATAACTAGGCAGAGAGGGTATACAAATAGCCAATAAGCATGCAAAAAGATGTTCAATCATAGTATCTAGTGAATACAGATTACATAATGGTGAGTTTTCACTTTTTATTATTGACTTACATACAAAAATATTAAATTTTGATTATATTCAGTGTTGGAAAGTGCAGAAATGGACATGTGAATTGCTGTGTAGCTTGAGAATGTGACATAGCAGCCTGCATTAAGACATAAAATGTGGCCAGGTGTAGTGGTGCACGCCTGTAATCCCAGCACTCTGGAGGCTGAGGCAGGAGGATCCAAAGTTCAAGGCCAGCCTGGCTTATATAGTGAGTTCAAGGCCAGGTTAAATTACATAGTGAAACTCTGTCTCAAAAAAAAAATATATATATACACACACACAACTCTTGAGCCCAACAGTCTTAAGCCATTGGTAACTATCAGTTCCCAGATACAGCCAGGTAACTTTTTTGAGCCAATATTTCTTCTCACTTTAACTTTCAAAAAAATTTTGTGGATTTTCTTTTACTACCTTATTAATCAGGCATAATTATTTTTAAAAACATTGACTATTGTGTGTAATAAAGTTATAAAACTTGTATTTTTTCCAATTGCTCTTACCAGGGGATATCTATATAATGTTGTTTGTAAAAGTCTTAATGTACGCCAAGTAAAAAAATATTTGTTCATCAATGACCTGACTGTGAGCATAACCTTATTCAATCCAGTTATTTTCTTTCTTCCTTCTATTACAGTTGGTAAATCTATCCTCTCATGCACATGCCAACTTGCCACATAGATTATGGTGTCATACTGGTAATGTCTAACAACATTATCATTCATTATAAAAAATTCATGGCTATCTCTGTGTACTATGCACTATCCTAAGTGATGAGATGAAAATAGATTATATTCTCAATTGGGTGAAAGAGATAAACCAGGAAATAAAGATTACAGTACAATGTTATAGTAAAGAGATAACAATACACACACATACACATACACAGAACAAAAGACAGAGAAGATGTAACACAGGGCTGGGGATTTAGCTCAGTGGTTCCGCTGCCTGCCTCAAAAGTATAAGGTCCTGAGTTCGATCCCCACTACAAAAAAAACCAAACAAACAAACAAAAAAAAGATGTAACACAGAGTTCAAACTTGGTACAAAAAGGGTATTACAGGGGAGACAGATTTCTAACTCAGATTGGGGTGGAGAGAATAAAGGAGTCAAGGAAAATTTCATAGAAGTGAATGGTCTTAACAGCATAAAATTGCTATTCACCAACATTTAGATAAAGGAGTTTAAAAATAATTTTAAAATAAAGGGGGAAAAAAGATATGGGCAAAATAACTGATGGCACAAGACAAAAGTGTTAAATGAAAAGATGTATACTACCTAGATACTTGGAAGGCTGAAGAAGGAAGATTATAAATTTGAAGCCAGCCTGGGCAATTTAGTGAAACTTTGTCTCAAAATTTAAAAAAAAACGTGAAAAGGACTGAGGATGTAGCTCCATGTGCCCTGTGTTCAATCTCAAGGGGAAAATGTATATAATAATAATATCTTTAAAATCTTATAAAAGAAAATGGTTAATATAT